CTCCCTTAGGTCTATTCCCAGTCCTGCCCTGAAACTCTCTTCTCATTTTAAAACCCCACACCCCGGGCACTAACGCGGTATGCCAATGAGGCTGACCTTACTCGTGTCCAGGAATGGAGGATGCAGCCTAGGTCTGCCCCGTGGTTCTGTCTGTCAGCTCCTGTTTCTGTCTGGTGCTTCTAACCCTCCCCTTCTCACCCTGAGCATTGTTGCTAACCCAGTGACAGCAGACGCCTTGTTCAGAGCCATGTCAGGACAGGGCTCACAGGTCCTGCTAGCAGCTTTCTGTTTCCCATCTCATCCCATCCTTGGTTGTTATCATGATGCTGGGCTTCCAGCATCAAAAACCAACTCTGTTAACTGAAGGAAAACAAAATAGTCCTAAAAAGAGACATCCGATAACTTGGAGGCTGCATAACCAGAATGCTTTGGAAATCCCTGCTGCAGGGTCTATCTCGGGAAGACACAGTGCAAGCAGAGACTCTACCCCTACAGGGCAGTCACTCTAGTCTTGATTTCTGTCCTTAGAACCTCCCCTGTGCAGCTCTGGGGTTTGGAGGTGGCTATAACCTCACGGAGTGAACTTGACACAGTCCCTGCACACTCTGAGCTCTGGCCCTCGCTCCACTCCTCTCCCATGCAAGTGTCTCTTAACTGCAGCGCCTCCATCAGGCCTGTGCTTTAGCTACAGGCTTGTAGGAAGGGAACCTGTGACAGGCTGATGCTGTCCTGTGGCGTGGGGGTGGGGGTTCCCTACACAGAAAAAGGAGTTCAGGTTCTCCGAAACACAAAAGGACAGCAGACAAACAAAAGCATCCAGGTCGTTAGGTGCCTAGTATAAATGAAGGAACCAGGGCTGCAGAAATGAGGCTCATTTGCTTCAGAGTAACACCAAGTGACATGAGCAATGGGCAGACTTGGGTCTGTCTGTAGGCCAGCCTCCCTGCAGGATGATTTGGAAATCACAGAAAACCATTCTTTATGTGGTCCAGGATAATAAGGACTGATAAGCTGGTGTTCTGATTGTTTAGTATATGACCTTTTGAACTGTATTGTGGGCAAAGTATTATTGCCTGAAGTTTTCCTGGGAGATGTGAACAAATGTTGACTGAGCCTAGATGGTACCAATAAGAAAATAAGATAACACTTACACCAAGGTGCAAACTGGAGGACCAATAATTTTATTGGGCTTATGGCTGAGGTGATACTTACAGAAGTGTGGGTAACCCTGAAGCAGTAACCCACCAAAGCATCTCTCTCCAGCCTAAGTGGAGACTTCCCCAAAGCTATGCAGTTGGAGTCCCTATCCGTGTTAAACTTCCATTCTCTAGATACTCAAGAACCTCCCCAGAACACATGCACCTGGGGCAGAATTACATATAGATGGCAGGGACAGACGCATAAGAGGCAGTAGCTGAGGTCTAGACTAATGACCTTCCAAGTTTAACAGTCCTTTTAGAACACGTGTGTGGGAGAGGATGGCTGTTACGCTCAGAGAACATGGTTCTGTAAAGGGTGTGAAGATGAAAATCAGTCTTTCTGAGCAGGCACATGTGTAGGGATGTTTCTTATTTCTATATCTTGTGCTTTGAAAGCTGGCCGAGTTTCCCAGGGTTGCCATAACAAATTACTACAAACGGGGTAACACAGTACAGAAGAAACATACTGTGCACAATCCTGGAGCTGGGACTCCAGCATCAAGATGCCTGCAAGGCCAAGCTCACTCTGGAGGCTGTAGGGAAGGATGTTCCCTTGCCTCTTCATGCCTTCTGTAGAGGTTGCTGACAACGGCTGCTCTTAGGCCCATCACTCCAACCTGTGCCTGAGCTCGCCTCTGTCCCTAGGTGCCTGTGTGCCAGTTTCTCTCTTCCCACAGTGGCACCAGTCACACTGTATTGAAGTCCCAACTGAATCCAACAGGACCACATCTTAACTCAATGCTAGCTGCATGAATTTTATTTACAAGTAAGTTCACACTCAAGGTTCTAGACAGACACAAATCCTTGAGGAATCTTCAGAAAAGTTAAACTGTACATCATCTCTGTAACACCCCTGCATTAAGTCTCTGAAATAGAAATGAAGAGAAAGGGGTAGAAAATTGGTGTGGGTTTTTGCTGATCTCTGTGGTCCCTTAAATCCAAAAGAAAACTCCATATGGGTTTTCTGATTGTAGGTGTAGAGCAGAGGGTACGTCTGCAGGTTCTGCGCTTGGGCAGATTCTGGTGCTGAAACAGAGAGTAGAGAAAGATGCCAGAGTCCACAAAAGGAAAGACTTTAATATGGAAGCAACAGCCTTCAAAGATAGCTAGGAAGAATTGTGAATGAGCCTGGATCTCAGCCTGGGTGTTAGGGTAAGTAGAAAAAGGAAGCTGGGGGCTGGCGGGCACACTGCAACAGGTGGACTTTTAGTTAACGTACCTACACTCATAGCACTCCTTTGCTCCCTTTGACATGGTGACATGTGATCCTAATTTTTCTTCAGTTAATTTTAAATTGAGACAAGAGTATGACTACATAGTGACTCTGAGAACTTAGCAGTGACTGTGTGGAGAGTCTTAGCACATCTCCAGCGTGCTGCACACAGAACTGGGGAACTACCATCAGAGATCACCGTAACTTCCAAGAGCCTATCCAGGCTGTGAGGCAGGATAGACTCGGCTATGCTACTGTAGCAATCTACCCCTAGGCCCCAGTAGTGCACACCACCAGGGCCTTACTTCTCACTCACATAACCTGCCCATTATGCTTTGAATAGGGATCATCCTTGTTCCAGCCTTCATGTGAAGCATCACTAATTCCTATGGGCAGTCCTACTTCTCAATTCTCTCACCTAGAAGTAGCCAGTGTTACTTCTTACCATGTTAATGGGCCATTAGAGGTCATATGATCACTCTGAATTTCAAAAAAGGAAGGGGAATGCATGTGCGCACAAGAAAAAACAGGAATGTGTGGCCAATGACACTACTGGTTATCACCTCAGGTGTCACTTTGCAAGCTCATCCAAATGGGACAAGTTTGCTAAGATATTATTCTTAAGTCCCTACTGTTCACTGGAGGTAAATTATAAAGGGAAGGGGATACTGAATAATTAATATTTCCATTAAATAGTCCTATTGGATTAAATTCTGCCTGGTGGCTGAATGAGCAAGGTCTGTTTGAAAGTTGCTGCTGTTGCATTTCTAAACCTTGAACTCTGTCCACGGCATTGCTGTAAATGGCCAATTTGGGCCAACTACTGACTTGCTAAATGTTAATATAGAATACTGCACAACAGCAACTTCCATTGCCCATGCCTTCATGTTAATATCTGCTGTCTAAGATGCAAAAGTAAGCACATAGAGATGTAAGACCACTAAAAAACAATCAAACTAAAGTCACCTAACAAGGTCTTCAAAGTCCTAAATTAGGACCCCTCTGTCCAGCACCGAACCAGAAGCTGAGCTCTGATGAACTTGGACCATCCACTCAAAGCCTCTTTTCACTTGATTTTCCAAATCTGAACTATGAACACACTCACCTTCAAGCAGTGACTTGCATTTAGAACTGAAAAATTCCAGGAACCTAGAACAGACAGAATCATAGGAAACTATTAACAAACATGATGATGTTCTTATTGCTCAGTGGCAGAGGGAATCTCACTCTATCTGGGGAAGGAAAATGAGGATGATTTCTCCATTAGTTATCATCCCATATTAGTCAGTGTGAGCCACCCCTAATATAGGCATTAATGCTCTTCTACTCTGTGAGTGTACTGTGTGAATGCCAAGTGGGCACATAGAGCTTGTCCTGCCTCTAAACAACATGAATGAGGTGCACACTGATTCATGATGCCTGCTCAGAACCTGTATGAGGCACTAGGAGAGGCCTGGCAGCAGGCTTCTCAGGTAGGCATTGTTAGAGCAGCAGCATTAGCAATGGAACCCAGCTCCAGGTTTCAAAAGTCAATGCCAGTAATTCCTAGGATCCCTCTGGTGAAACTGCAAGGCATGTGCCCTGCTATATAAAACAAGAGTGAATTAGAATCAGCAGTGATGAACCAGGTCAAGCTTTCTCTTCTCCTTTCCAGTCTCCAAATCCTTTCTTTCTACTAGCTCAGCATTTCTGAAATGATATCATTTCCCTCATCATGCATATCAGTATTAGTTATTACTTACATCATTCCTGGAATAATTTAAATGTTTCCCAACTACTTTTTCTCCTTGTACCAATAAAGGTTGCATTCCCAGAAGAGAGTAATCCCCAGTCAAACTGGCTAAAACAGTTCTAAGACAGTGTGACCCCAGAGCACTTTTCATTTGTGTCTGGTTCTACCAAGTTGTTGCTGTTGAACAGTCTTACTATAGCCCAGGCCAACCTCAAACTCAGGATCTTCCTGGCTGTATCCACTGCCATGCCTGGGTCCATGATGTTTTAATCCAGATGCATCATGTTCAAATATTAACCATGTCCAGGAAATAAAAGACATCTTTTTGTATGTTTTAGGAAGGAGAAACTCTTTCCCAGCAATCCATCCCTCCT